TTAATGTTATAATATTTGCTTAGTTTGTCCTTGAGCTCAGTTTTTTATGTTAACTATCTGCAAAGTATTCTAGTTGAGCTGATTTTTACTGTATTTGAATTAGTGAACTCATTTTATACTTTCTGTTTGCTTTTACTGAAGTTGAATATTTTATTGCTACAGATTGTCTTTGTGTAAAATGCTGTTGTTTAAAATAGATTATAAGAAAAAAAAGTTAAAAGATATTCATTGTAATACAGTACCTAGCAATTAAGAGTTATATAATAGTTATAAAAAGTTGTTTTTTTTTCCATCCAAGAATTCTATACTGAGTACATTTATAATTGCACTCCAGTCAAAGCACAGGTTTTAAAGGTTTACCGTATCTCCAAAACTGTTCTTTGTTGTTGTTTTTTTGTTTGTCAAAAAACAAATAGACTTTTAGAATAAAATCCGTTTTGTAACTTGATAAGATGTGCATAGGTTGAAATGGTTTTGTCTGCCACAATTTTTCCTTAGTTTATTATATGCAAGATGTTAACTCTAACCACATGTATACTTTTTATCGTTGAAACATGTTTATCAGCAAAGAAATGTCTCCCATGATGTGTCTGAGAATCGTTGTCAAAACAAATGCATTTTGTTCTCTCAAATGATTTCTTGGTTATCAAAATGTAAAAACAAATGTTTATTACACTATTATAGCATTTTATAAGCATTTATATGTAAAATATGTTTTGACAAAATTGTAATTTATCTCTACATAAAATTTACTTTTTTATTCAAAAATGTTTTCAATTTTAATTATAAATGAAACCTTCTTGCTTTTTTTTTTTTCTTTTTTTTTGTAACTTATTGTTTTGTTGTTTTTTTTTTTGCTTTTGTTTTTTTTTTTTTTTTTCAAGAAAAAAAAATTCTTTTATAACAGATGTGACCTAATGCAACAAGACACCGTGACCATGTATGTTTACCTTAGTTTGATAAGTAACAAGCAAAAAATCATTTTAAAAAATGTGAAATGAATTTTTTTCTTTTTAGTTTTGAGTTTTTGAATTGAATGGAATTTTCTTGAGTTTCATACCTAATGAAATTATTGAATTATAAACCATTCTCCTAATTATGATTTAATAAGTACTTACATTCAGGTAGACACATTGTTAACTGAAGTAATTATTTTGAAATCAAAACTATTTAAACCCTTTGAATGATACATATAGTTTGAAATCTATAGAGGAACACTGTGCTACCTTTTGTTCTATTGGGTCACAATATCTATATGCACCCTTTTTTTCCATTCCGATTTTTTTAAAATTTGCATAATACTACAACACTCAAACACCCTACTGTTTAAACCACAGAATAATCCAACTCTTAGCAAGCTTTTTCAAAAGAAAGGATATGATTATTATTGACTTGCATATTATATTTGCAAGTCAACAATCATACTAGAATAAGTACTTTAGGAAGTACTGATTAAAATTAAAACATTATTTCCACTTGCTTGGAATAAGATTTGAAATCAAAACATGGACCTTCATTTTTTTTTTCTTAGTCTAGAGGCCAGGCTTTTGCAATTTTCTCTTCGTTATGTTTATGCACTGTGTCACATCTATTCTGTGGTTGAAACATTGCCTAGCCAGATACACACACACGCATCAATGTTTTGTGATTGCTCATCGATAAATAGTTTATTTATTTAGCTCTGTTCTATGACCCCCACATTGATTTCGTTTAATATCAGAATGCTATCGCTGCATGTATTGATGTACAGTATGTGATATTGTGTTTTGTGGCAAACATGGACAGCACTATGAAGTTGTGTGTGTGTGTGCATGTTAGCAGTTTACACTAAGTGTGTGCAAGTGCTAGTGAGTGCAATTATTTTCACATTTATTACATCTGATCCTGGCTTTCTTTCCCTCCTAACAAACTTCTTTTTAATTGGTTAATGGTAATTAACATGGTTGACAGCATTATGAATAAATCTTGAGCTGTTTAAAATCTCTAGTTTAACAATTTTTTTTTGTTACAACTAGATTTAGTTATTTTGACTAAATTCATTCAAATTAACATTGTTATAGTGCCCACCTTTGAGTTGAAATTTTGTTGACAGTTGCTTTTTTTTAACAATTTAACCTTGTAATAAAAGTAATTTTTGTATTACAAATGAATGATATATAAATTTAACTAATAAATGACCTTGAGGGCGTGGTGGCCAAGTGGTAAAGTACTTGGCTTCCGAACTGAGGGATCCCTGGATTGAATGTTACAGAAGACTTGGTTTTTAAGGGTCCCCTTGAGTCCAACCAACTGTAATGGGTACCTTACATTGGTTGGGGAAAATAAAGTGGTTGGTCGTTGTGCTGGCCACATGACACCCTCATTGACCCATCTGCCAAGAAAACAGATGACCTATACATCATCTGCTCTATTATATAAAAGGACATTGAAAGATTTGGTCCAATGTGTGAGTGCTTGAAACTTTTAAGTTCAAAGGCAACTTTTACATTTTCATTCTTAGTGGAGATTATAAGGTCATGATTTATTTCTCTTTATTAGGTCAACTATTTGTTGCACTATTTTTCTGCATCATTAAGTGGTTTTGAGCTTCAATGCACTGTAATACATCAACTGTCTATAAGATACCCACCCTTTGTATGTGTGTACCAATTTGTGAGCTCTATTGTAATTTTAGCTTTATAAGTTTTACAGTAGTTTTATAAATGTCCCCTGGCAGCCTTCTTACTGTAGTACTACTACTACAACTACTAGAAAGATGTCTTAATTTCTAGAACTGTAATGTCTTCAACAACAAAAGAATCTGGAATATTTTGCATGCATTCATAGAGCAGTTATGCTTTTGTTTTTTATTAGATGTCTGTAGGGCAAAAGTAGTAGTACCAAAGCTTACAGTATTGCTCTTGTTATTCTGATGTATGTGTCCATGGTGCGAAATCGTTCCATTACTTATTTAATTCCAGGCTTGTTTGGTTTCCACCCACTTCATTTATTATTTATGCTCTAACATTTATATTCATGTTATTCACAGTTTCAAATTATTTATTTATTTATTGATTTCATTTCTGTGCATTGAAGAACATAATGTTTTAGCTTTAATTTTTTGTTTTCTATACAGTAATAAAAGTATTGATAAAACAGTAATACAGGAATGACTTTTACATATTCAACTCTTGCATTGAAGCTGAGTTTGACTTTAACTGATATTTGACAATGTAGTGGATTCATGTATTCATGTTCAAAATGTTAGATTGTGCTATTGAGACAATAGCTGTGACTGAGTTGATGTCATCATCATTTCTGGAGATTTTTTTTTTTCTGTTCTTTTTTTCATGTTGTTTGGTTTGGTTTACAGTTGAGTTGAACTTGGTAGACTGGATCTAGGGAAACTTGGTTGTTAACAAATGTTTAGAACAGATTTAAATTTGGGTGACTTTTTGACAATTTATTTGTCTATTTAAAAAAAAAAAAATTACAGAGGACATTTCTGAATGATTTAATGACTGCAGATTTCTGAAGGAAATTCTATTAGTGTACAATCATAACAGTGAATTTGTGTTTCTGTTTTGCAATGTGGAGTTCTGGTTGTATGATTCCTCCTCAAAACATCACTGGCAATACAATCTGTTCTGCATATAAGTATAAATCTAGTAAGTGCTTGCAGCAGTGTGTGTTCTGTTTACTCCTTACATTGACACTGGACTTCTTCATTCGCTGCGCACAATCTGCATTCATTTTTCAGCAACAGATTTTGCCACATTTTCTTCTTGTTTTCTTTAGTTAAGGGCATCTATTAGTCCCATGAGCTGTTTTGTTTGTATTTTTTCTTAAATATTTGTTTTATACATCAGTTTCTAGGCATAACTTAATAACTACACTGGATAGTAAACCTCAATGTTAGCTCTAGCCCTTGCTTGGGTGCTGTATAATTTTGAAATTCTATCTTCATGTCTGCATTAGATGTATATGATATGAGGTCATGTATGATAAAAACAGGTTATCATTTTTTCATACCAGGACCACAGAATAGTTTCTTGACTTCATTTTTTCTCTTTATTCTTTCTCTAGTCACCACATCTCTTTGTGTTCAGTGTCCAGTATATCACCTACGCATCATTTCATTCTACAGATTATCTTTCTGAGACGACCCAGTGTAAAAATTCCAATTCAAACTAGTAAATACTAATGGATTTGTCTGCATGAGGTATGGCAAAATATATAGGTCACCACTAGGTTTGCATAGTCAATTGAAATACTGCATTAGTCTCCAATCTTAAGGTTTTTAAGTTTTTATTTTAATACTTTAATGACATAATTTTTAGTGCTGGTTTGTGACTTATGTACTGTGGGTTTGAAATCTAACTGCACTGCTATTAGCTTTCAAGAATTTTATAACATTGGGTAAAGTTATTATTTGGTGTGATCATTTTTTTTTTCCAATTAATGACATGTTTGTTTCACTGACTTCTTCATAGGTTTCTGAGGCAATTCTTTTCAAGGCAGTCTGTCAATATCATAATATTTATTGTTATCCACATAGACCTATTGGTACAGCGCTTGAGAATTTATTAATTGGTTTCTTAAGAATTGTGTCATTTTGTATTGAGAGGTTGAAGGAGTAGATCATGTTCTGTTTTCTAACAGTAATTTTAGATGGCTAGAATTGAATTCCAGTTCATTTGTTTGGCTGGTTTTTGGCACTGTGTGAAGAACAATTTCTTTTTTTGGAAACATTGAACTCTGTGTGTATATATATATATATATTATACTTCAAGTGCTTTCTGTTTTATTTATATGCTTAAAACACACACACCTATGGTGTGTCCTTTTTGAAAACATGCAAGTTAATCATTAATTGACCAGGTTTAGTTTTCTTCTTAAATAATATATATATATATATATATATATATTAAAACATTACACTGTTCAGGAGCTAATTTAAATTAATTTCATTCTTAATGTGTATATCATAAACAACCTTCTTTGTACTATAGAGGGAAAATGACTGTTTAAAATGTTCTTGTAAATGAATTTGTGTAAATATAGTTTTTCAAAGCCAATCTTTAGTCCTGTTTCATACTAGCGCTAACTAATAGAAAATTCCTTACATTCTCTGTCATTTAATACTTTTATTACAGCATAGTAAACAAAAATGTTTGTTTGTAAGTTATCTTATTTTTTGTTGGCTGTACTAATATTTGAATGTTATATTAGTGTGTGTGTGGGATACTGAATATTCAATGCTGATTTTACCTTTTTAGCTTATGTATAAAAACATGGATTTTTAATTATACTTCTTTGTAAAGATGCTGTGAATGAATTTTATTTTCAAAAATATTTGGAGTCTTTTAAAAAATGTAGCAATCTCTTTTGCATTAAATTTTTTTGAATATGAACCAGTTTTTTTTTTTTTTTAATGTAAGAACAGAAATGTCTGAAATGATTTTGTAAGGAGTCTTGTCATCAGGTAGATGTGAATTCTTTAGCTAATTCACTTTCTTCTCTAAACAAATAAAATATAAAAGTGATTACAAAAGTGTGTATGAAAAGAATTTTTTGTTGTTTTCACCTTTAAAAACACTACAAAAGTCCTCATTGAACCACTACAAACTGATCATTGTGACATCAGACCACTACAGACTGATCATTGTGACATTCAATCACTACAAACTGATCATTGTTACATCAGACAATTACAAACTGATCATTGTGACATTCAACCACTACAAACTGATCATTGTGACATTCAATCACTACAAACTGATCATTGTTACATCAGACAATTACAAACTGATCATTGTGACATTCAACCACTACAAACTGATCATTGTGATATCAAAACACTACAGACTGATCATTGTGACATTCAACCACTACAAACTGACCATTGTGACATTCAGTCACTACAAACTGATCATCGTTACATAAAATCACTACGAAAAAAATTATACGAATGCCTATACGCAGTGGCGTCACTAGGGTCAGTGTTACTCCACCCCCAAATTTTCTTGAAAACAAAATTTCCACTAAAATATTTGTTTGATATGGATTCTTATATATCTCCTGTGAGCACAATCTCAATTTTCTACAAGAAGATGGCTATGGAGTCTAATCCTCGCTTTGAAAATCCGACCGCACACGTGGCATAGGAAGATAGGGTCTATTGCAGAGATGCCCGATTTGATTCTCTCTTCCTTATTTTTTTTTTAAATTTGCGTTCTTTTTTCTGGTATCCTTGTTGTGTATCTCAAAACACGGCTTCACGCGACGAGTTTGCATTTCCCAGTCATGGATGTCACATTCTTCGAGGGAGCTCTTGACAGTTTTATAACGCTTATGCTGACCTCCTTGATTGTGCTTTCTAACACACAGCTCCCTTAAAAAAATCGTCTAGGAAGGTGATTTTCAGGCATACAGAATACAGACATGCAATCCAGCCCAACGTAGTTGGATCCTTCTAGCTGTTGCGTGGATACTGTTCATCTGTGACGGAACTAATATCTCGAAATCTGGTATGTGGCCAAATCATTTCACTTGGTGACTCTTTCAATAGGCAACGGAGGTGGTATAAGAAGGTCCAGGAAGCATAGAAAAGTGAAGGAAGGAATACAGCACTGTACATTTCTATTTTGTAAAGGTGCTCAGTCCTTTCCGTGACCATATGTGTTCTTGAAGTCTACCAAAGGCGGCATTGGTACTTGCAATACGGAAGTTTACCTAATTATCCAGGTTGGCATTTGCTGATATGGTATTTCCCCAAGTAGACAGACTTTTTTTTTTTTTACAGATGCTGGTTTCTGTCCATCTATGAGAATGCCTGGTTCTGTTAAGTTGGGAGGAGTTTGGTGCAGAACTTTTTTTTTTTCATGTCAAAAGTTTTGCAAGCCTTAGCGAAGAGGGACAAGCTCTTTTGAAGAGGCAATCATTTGCCAATATTTGGTCTCTAGTGCGATCTTATTTGACTTTGGTCTCCGGTTTAAGTCTCTGTATGTTGAATAGACTTGTGTCAGTGCTTGTCTACTTTAACGTATCTGTCACAAAAAGCATCTTTTGGCATGACAGGGAAATAATTATTTACTTTCATTGATTGCTACACAACTGTAAAATATATATACTATTATTATTATATTATTATAGCTTTTATATAGCACTACTTTCATGCTTATAGCATGCTCAGAGCGCTTTTGGTCCAATCTCATTTGTGGACCAGTGGGGGGGGGGGGGGGTATCTAGGAGTTGGTTTTCGGTGCTGCCTTTAGGCGCTCAGTATAATATATAAAAAAGTTAAGTTCCCCTTTCAGACCTTGTAATCTATAGGGCAGATGATGAAAAGCTCATCTGATTCTGTGGCCTACAGTTAACAGGGCACAACGACCAACCGCCTTTACTTTTCCCCAACTAACGTCAGGTACCCAATAGAGCTGGGTGGACTCAGAGGCGCCCAAAGATCCTGAAATTAAAAATCCCAGGATTCGAACCCCGGTAAAATATGCGTTGGTTTTATTTTAAAATTTATAGATATAACATTAGCGTAAGATACTTAGATTAGAAATAGACCTAACATCAACTAAGTTTTCAAGTTAAAAGTAAGGTCAAATGATTCTTTGAAATTCTATTATTTAGAACACACTCATTTATAAACTCGACTTTGGCTGTAGGGTCCGATTTCCATAGCAAGTACAAACTACAGCAGAGACATTGCAAGTACAAACTACGGCAGAGACATAGAAAGTACAAGTCTACAGCAGACACATAGCAGAGACAGCAAATGCAAAATGAAGTTAAAAATGCGCCTCTTAGTGACGACATTATTTATTTATGACTGTATTACATTGGCAGCCATTGTCTTTAGAGTTGAAAAAGTTTGTTGGTGAGTTGATAATAAAACAATACACATGTAAACAGTACTGTTACACATAACAGTATAACGTCTATTGCCCTTGAGCCGAAAAATCTTTTCTCCTGGAGAAACTCCCTAGTTTGGTAAGGCGTGCGCACGTTACCCTGGCGCTGACGTAAGTCGCTCGAGACTTTTCTGTGGTTCTGAACGGGCTTAACCTTTAGAGTCACGGCTGGGGCTTTTTCTTGAATGGCTTTAAGGCTCTGGTCGCACTGGGTGAGCGCGGCTGTCGTAATTTTCACGTCCGAGAAAGCGGCGTCATCCTTGACATCCTGGGACACTGCCCTGGAGGATACAGATTTGTAAGCGGCTATTCCGGCTCGAATGATTCTTGCGCTGATCTGATTGGGTGGTACCGTATTCCCCGGTGCTTGCGGTTCCACGTCTGCTTGGAGCAGGCTGTAGTATTCGATCTTGTGTGTCTCCGCCCTATCTTTGGTGATTTTCACGCTGTGAGACAGCGAAATGCATCTGTCTGCCCGGCTAGGCGAGGAAACGACGGAAGGCTCGTAGGCGACGGAAGGCTCGTAGACGACAGAGAGGGGAGAGGGTCGCTTAATTTTGTCGGCGGCGGTTTCTAGCATCATTAAATTGTCAGAGTTGACATATTTACAGCGCCAGTGTTGCTGTTTGCTCGGTTTGGTCTGCTTGCTTTTGCTTCTCTCCGTGGCAAGGGGCATAATTCTGGGATACTTGATGGTCTTGGTCATGACGCTCGTGTCGTCGCTGATGATGCCGAGGTCGTTCCAAGGACACATCTCTTCATCAGCCTGAAACACCGCGTAGGCCGAGTCTTGGCTACGGCTGCGGCCTTTGATTTTAGCCGCCTGCTCCACTCTCTGAATGGGCCTTGACTTGCGTTTCTTCCTCATTTCCTCCGGTCCCCCCGACGCCGCCCTTAGTTTGCAGAACGCCTTTTTGTCTGTCGATCGCATCAGTTTTGCATCAGCGTTGCCATCGCCCTTGTTAATGGACGTCCTTCTGACTTTTGGCGAAGGGGACGTGAAACGCTTGTTGTTCTTGGCGCTCATTTTTCGGGGAGAGGGTTTTGTTCTCCAGGTGAAAGCAGGGGTGGCCTCCATGGGGCTTGTACCTACGTCGGCATCTACCTTGCTCTTTACACACACAAGATATTGGGGGCTGGCGTCTCCACAAGTAACTTCCTGTTTTTTGCTGCTGGTCTTGCGCTGGAGGGATAGGTCCTCGCTTTGGTACAGACACCCGAGAGTCAGACTTTTTTTCCCAGTGCCTCCATCTGTTCTGAGTTGGGATTCAGTTAGACAATCTCCTTGGTCCTTTTCTACCGTAGACAAAGTCTGGTTCGGAAAACTTGTAGTCCCTTTCTCCAAACCTGCTAAAAAAAAATTGCCAACTTTAAATATTATGTAATGCTAGTTGTCTTGTTCCGTAAATAGATTTTAAAAAGATGACTTTTGTTCATGACATTAGCGGGACAAAAAGAACTAGTAGGCCTATTACTCAGGGACGTATGCTCAGATATACTTAAGTTTTCTGAAGAGATACTAATTGTGTGTCTTGGAACATTCTACTGCGATAATTTTATTTTTAATTCTTTTAAAGCGTGTTGTTATTAATAAGTTCATGTTACTAATAAGTTATAAAGACATCGAAGCTGCTGCTGGGAGGATAGGGCAGACAACGACTTTGTCACCAAAGCAATTACAGCGATAGATAAGTAACTAAAGATAGATACACAGAGAAAGACAAGAAAAAAAAAGAGATAGACAAAACTGAATGACAGAGGTTCTACAGAAATATAAATACCAGATGCTGAATGATATTGAGAAAAATTACATTTTGTAGACACGAGAAATCTAACATTCGTCTCACACAAACTCGTGTGCTTCGCAATAGTCTCCTTTTGTCTACTAATAGGTAACTGTGCAATTCCAGAAGCACTCTATACATTTTTTGTCTACCCTTATTATTTTCTCCTAAATAATTGACTAGCTGACTTTCTAAAGAACTTTGTGATCTACAGTGGATTCAGACCTTTTCCGTACCAGCTACGCCCATATGAATAGGATGCATTTTAGCTGACAAGATTTGTTAAGCTCTTTTCTTCTTGACATGTACGTATGTTTGATATATACGTCTGTTTGACATATACGTATGTGTGTACTTCAATTCTGAATACCAATTGTTATCTAGTCATGAGTGTAATCGTGACGACACTCGTCACGGACATATAACTTGGACATATAACTTGGACATATAACTTGGACATATAACTTGTTTATTAAAAATATAATACAGGCAGAGCTCTGGTAGATGAAATATCTAATATAAATTAATATTCAACAGAACAATATCCCATGGACAGAATAATAGTTACACAATAATTAAAAGTCTATACTTCAACTCTAGAAACTGAAGTCGAACTACCCTGGACGGGAAATAAACACCACGCTGACTAACCATGAGTTACATTCCATTAAAAAATGTCACAAAGCAAACCAAACCAAAACAATCATAAATTAAACCTGAATCCCCCCCCCCCCTTTGCACACTTTTTTTTTCTCACTTAAAGTAAACAGGAGAACCACACTGACCAAATTCTGTCCTGACAGAAATGAGAAAGCAAATTTATTCACTTGATCTAATTTTTAAAAAATAATTAATAAAGAAGAT